TAAGTGCCACCCCAGGATTGCAGTGCTAACTTTTACACAAGTCTAAGCCCCACATACCAGCACGTAAAAATTTAGCGAGAGGACTGCTAATTCGGAGACCAGAAAAGCTGAGAGTCTGAAATTTTAAGGAGATGTCCTATGTCCAAGTACAACTCAAACATTCCAAATTCAGACCCCAGGCATGCGTGACATTCACGTACAGTAAGGGTTTCAGTAGGAAAATTGGTAACTGGGAATCACAAAAGCTGGAAAGCTGGAATTTTAAGGGAATATTCATCGACTACGTATACTTGAAGATTTCAAATCCAGCTCTCGGGTTTGCATAGTTCTCACATACGGGAACTTAAAATTTTTGGCGTGAAAATTACCCCCTGAACAGCTAGGTCATTTTCAAACAATGACCGATAATCATGAAATTGTACATTTCCCTTTATGCAAAATTTACGATGATTTACACTAGTAAGCGCAAGGCAGGTGTAAAGCAGCAACCATTCATGGGGTTAACGATTTATTTACCTCAGGTTTAGTGCAAAAACGCATGAATGCTCCGGTAAATCTGGTGTGCCCTACTCCAGGCTTTATAATTTAAGAACAAGCGAGTATGTAAAATGATGTCTGTAATTAAACACAAAAGCAGAAATGAACAAACAAAAGTCAAATTCCAAAGCCTACTGCTTCCTGAAATGCAGTTCAGAGTTCACGTTCAAAGGATGAGCACTATGCTTAGAAATATTCAGATTTCATTTATAGCGCAATGAAAACTGTGATCAGCAAGCATATTTGTAAATCATTCTGTGTTCTGATCTGCGTTAAAAAGGAGGATGGAATTACAGCATTTGGACGAAACAAATCATGAATTTTAATGTTTTAACTGACCAAGGAAACCACAGTAATGAGGCAAATTCAACTTCTTTATGGGCATATTTCCCATGCCCATTCGATGTATACCCATTTGGTTTGTCGCAAAAATGCGTGTGTGCGTCCGCTCCTCGATGTAAGAGGATATGGTAGGAGTAAATCTGTTTTCTAATCACCGCCACACACCTACCACAGTCTTCACTAGCATTTGTCAAAATTTCTAACAATTTCTAGGAAGCGTTACTTGAAAATTGCCAATATAATGAGGTTCCATGTTGTAAACACGATTAATGGCTTCCGTACTGAGCGGCTCCTCGAGCAATGTGAATGTGGCGATTTTAAAACACAGTCTGAAAGAACACTGCGTGTTATTGGGACGGCTTGAATGCAGGACGGAAACATGCGAAGGCTTTACCTGCTGGGTGAACGATAGGCTGGCGGGGTGCCAATAACGGCATAGACGCTGGCCGCTTGCGACAAATGAGTTGCTCCTGCACCGATATTCTGGTTGATATAATGCAGCTTATAAGAACCTTCAGGACGACCATTGATGTGAACGGTAGCCTAAAACACAGCAATCAGTGAGTGCATGTTCACTGCCGGCAGCTTGGGTTAAAAAGAGGGCATCTCTAGGAACTCGTTCCTTTTGACCGGTTCAGACGGGCATCGAACAAGATTTTCGGACCCCATCAAGCCTGAAGAGTGCTTGCGCTGCTCGTTTTCAAAATTTACAGCTTTGAAATTACCAAAAGAAACAGACTCCATGATGAGATTTCCGAAGAGAGCATAAGTCTTGCTGCAAAAGGTCTTGCAAGTCGTCTCGAATTTGCTGCGGTTACGAAACCGGGATCAGCAAGTTCAAGAAATCAGATCTCATAAGTTCCACATATAAGCCCTGGGAAAACAAGTTCCAGTACACTTAAAATGGCTCAAGTATGCTGTGCGTGACATAATTTTAGGCAAACTGCTGATCTCCTGCAGAATGCGCCGTGTAAAGTGTCGTGAAATTTCGGGTCTTCATTTGTTGAAAGTTTAAAATTGCATATTTTAAAGCCTAACAGCAGAAAAACTACGATTTAGAGTGCAACAAAAGGGAAGTAGTGGGAGACATGTTTCTTAATGGATACAGACAAAGTGTTTTAAGGATTTCCAATACGATGGGCTAACGGCTTTTCCCATCTACAATTATGAAAGCTGAGGCGCAGGGCTGAAGAAAGGGTCAGTCTATGAAGAGAGATGCCTGCATGTCCAGCGCAGAGGATCACTCCGTGCATTTATAAGAGAGCAAACTTTAGTAGCTAGTTTGAATGAATAGCGGCGTGCGCTAAAGTAGCCGGTGCGATCATGCGTTTTGTGGAGTTGTTTTCAGCGAACGTTTGCCTGTTAAGGATTTTCACTGCTTTGCACGTTGGTTTTTGCAAAAATAGTTGAAATTTTGCCTGGTTCCTAATTTGCGAAGTTTCAAACTACAAATTTCATGTACCGGTACGTGAAAGCTGAATTTGAAGCCTTGAACGGTGAATACCTATCCAAAATTTCAACCTAACTTTTTGGCTTTTGAGTGATTTCCGCGCCAAAACTTTTGCATGGTCATACATGAGACCACGGCATGCTTTCGAACTCCATTTGAGTTTGTGAGGCTCCCGCATAGGTAGAAAACATTCTTCTGAGATTTCCAGCCTCCTAGCCCTTCTGGCTCATGGGATAATACTTCTTTCCGCCAAATCTTTTACGGGACGCTGAGACCCAGGCGCAAAAAAAAATGCCGAATTCCAATTTGCGCGGTGGTCCGTAGGTGGGAGACCCTACCCTAAAATTTCCGCTTCCCAGCTTTCATGGTCCTCGAGTTGAAAATTACGACAAAATGCACGGGCATACACAAACAACCCCGTGACAATATGCGCTTTGCGTAACCGCTTTGTACAACGTCACACTACAGCGCATCTCACGTAACAAGTTTCCTCTAAATCAAAAAGAAATTTTCGGTCTGGTTACCAAGTTAGTTTTGTTGTGCTCCCATTTAAACACTCACTTGCACCATACAATACATAGGTGTGCTTTGAAGCTGAATTAGAAACATTTAAGTGACACATTAGCTCGCCAGATTCTCCGGCTGCTGAGTTAAACGTGGGTGACAAAATACGAACACACACACACACTTTTTTTTTTCAAAATGCGCTTCGGCATTTGCATATGTAAAAAAACATAAAAGGAACTGCCCACAGAAGTAAATTTTAAATCATGAGCAGTGCGTGTCAGGAGAGCCCGTATGATTATCCATTTTTGCAGCATTCGCGCTGCAGTAAGATCGCTTGAAATTCCAACAACTAGAATTTCTGACACACTGGTTCAGAAAGTTAACTGTGCAACAACGCAGTACTTGGACAAGGAATATTCCGTTAAAATGTCAGATTTCTAGCTATTCTGGTCCCCAAATTAGTGATTTTCTTGCCGAAACTTTCATGTGCTCGCGCGTGGGGCTCAGACGTGCGCGAAAGTTGGTACCGCGGCTCTGAGTGGCACATGTTCGAGAAACCCAATGGCAAAAATTTCAGTTCCCGAGTTTGCTTGACTGCCAAGTTGAAACACCCAGATAGACGCATACACGTACACACAAACACATACAGGTACACCGGGATCATCACAATATGCGTTTTTGCATTTGCACATATGCAAAAATGCATAAAAAGCATCCTAGAAGCCTGTTCAACAGAGAGCAAAGAATTACCTGGCTGTGCTTGAGCACCGATCGTGTCAGAACGACAGCAATGTGTGTCCACTGGCCTGTGCACAACGTGTCTGCTAGCGCAATACGAATTAAACCCTCATCGTTAACACTGCCCTCTTTCTCCAAATCATTGCCAGCAGTGTCGCTTTCCGCTGTACAAATCAGAAGTGAATGGTCGATGGAACTGAGCTGAAATGACGTTGTTAAATAAGCGGCCGATTACCACCATGCAACGGGTGCAACATGACAGAATGGGGAATAATCTCTTTACCTGCATTGAAAAACACACGAGCGAAGAATTTTGATTCGGACCATCTTCTTTTTTGGTCGAACTGAATGAGCGATATATTGTAAGCAAACGTATTGGATGAGGATCGACCTTCTTATCGCTGAACTGTTCCACGCAGAGCCACCTGAAGAGCGAGGCTTCGAACAGTCACGTCTTTTCATCGAAGCTCAGAAAGTCAACAGTAGTCCGGTGTAAAAAAGTGGACCATAACTCGAAGCACAATATACGAGGCCAGCGCAGCGCGGCATTCAAACTGCAGCTTCCCATCCTTTTTATCTTATCGCTCATGTATAACATTGGTACATGAGTAATCGAAATGCCGAAAAAAGCTCAAGAAGAATCGAAAAGAGTAGCCAATTATTGCAAAAAATCGCTGAAAGTGCATTACGTTTATTCGGTGCAGTGTGCATGGTATTTTGGGAACGAATAATTTCTTAACTCATATGAGACAGTTTTGCACCATGCACACTGCACCGCACAAACTCTTAGCTTATATGTCTTACAAAAACTGTGTACGCACAACATCAGCCACAAAACTCCAAAGCGGATGCTAGATTGCTTCATCTGATCCTAAACAAAATGCTAGAGTCAAAACAAGGGGTTCCGAAACAGCACGAAAATGCAGCAACAAATCCATCCGTGCATTTTGACCGAACCATGCCGGTATTTTCGAGCCCCCGATTTTAGCTCCACGAAATGATGCTCTATAAATCTGCAACAAATTCGTATTTGCTAAACCCGGGAAGTATTTTTTGTTCGCGGTTCTAATATGAGAACAATTTTTCCTTGCTTAACAACACCGACAGCCTGAATCGCGCTTTGAAAAATGTGAGCAAAAGCTGCTTACAGCATTACAGTTAAACCATTTAATGGAGGGAATATTCGTTCGCCGTGCCCAATTCCTCCAAGATCAGCTGCAAGTGGAGCCAGTGATGGAATAACAAGACAGGCGAATCCTTCCAGTGCCATATCGAACTCAACAAACGATGGATTTTGCGAAACTCGATGATCACGTGGAGTCATCATCGAAACTAAAGCTTTGACTCTGCAAAAAAAAAAACCTATAATTATGAAAGTTATCCGTAAAAGCCTGACCGTTCCATGTTAGTGTTACAAGTAATCTACCTACAGCAAAAAATTCGCGGCAACTTCACACATCACACCGTCCATATGTAATGCAAAGTACAAAAGCTCGCATATAATAGGCGTATGCCAAAAATTCAGGGACCTACCTAGTCATGCGAATTGTGGATGTCGTAAAATACAAATTTACAGGCCTAAACTGCAGCGCTAAACAAAGATTTACCTTCCAATTGGAATAGGGCCGCCCTCGTCATCCGTCACCGGCTCCTCATCTTCTGTTTCATCCAGATTTCGACAACACAGCGGCATGTCAAGACGTAAAAAAGATCTGCAAGAGGTGTCCAGAGCTCACACCTTAGAACAACTGCCTTCCGATAGGTTTTGATATAAACTGACAAATGTTTGAGCCTCATATTCAAGGAGTTTTGCGACGGAAGGTGAAATGAAGCCAGGCACGATACTCGATGCAAAGACCTAATGCATTTCTGATCTGTCCACCATTTTAGGAAGAGTTTTGCTACCAAATAAAAAATATGGGGTCCCCACTTAAACTTATTCCAAACCAGTCGAGTGATTGAGGTCTGCGCGCTAGTGAAAATCGAACGTATGACTTATAATGATTATCTGAAATCTGCAAAAGATGTATGCACCAAAATCGAAAACTACATGAAACTATACAGATTAGTATCCACCGCCTTCTCGATGTATGTGCACCGTCATTTCAGAGGCATATGTGACATACACCAGTTATCAATAAAGCGAGCGGCATTTTATGAGGGAGGAAAGTGGAGGGACGAAGGGGAGGGAGAAGGAGCTCGAGACAAAACGCAGCAGGTATTATTCCGTATGAGAACTGCTAACTCGCGCATTTCCTACATCTAACCACCAGCTTATCTAGTCGAGCACGAAAATGCCGAGCTGCGAAAAATCAAACGGCAATGTGCTATACTTAACGACTTATATGTAAAAAAAA